GCGTTTTGTGGGGGGCAGATGTGAACTCTTTTTTTTTATTTTTTTGCATTTGGAAGGCTGGATTTTCACCAAACATGTACAGCTTTTGAGTTCCACGCCAGGCCCAACTCGGAATTAATGTGAGAAACTATGTTCCAAAAGCCCTCCCAAACAGGCAATATTTGTAAAAAAATCAATTAAGGCTATGTTTGGAAACGATGCAAATATGTAGAAAGTAAAACGGTTCATATAAATTGTAAAATTGGGTTAGTTTTACACTAACCCAATTTAATTACCTTCTTATCAGACAAACTTTTAGCTGTAATGGATGCAATCATGTTTCCCAGGAAATCCATGCAGCGGAAGATCCTGAATTTGAAACTTTCTACACTAAAAATATTCTCTTAAACGAAGGGATTTGTGCTTGGATGGCAGCTCAGGATCAGCCTCATGAAAACCTTATATTCCCTGAGGAGGTTCTACCACGTGGAAACGCTCTTTAATGGAACTTTAGCTTTAGCTGGTCGTGACCAAGAAACCACCGGTTTCGCTTGGTGGGCCGGGAATGCCCGACTTATCAATTTGCCCGGTAAACTACTTGGGGCTCACATCACCCGTGCCGATTTCAATAAAGCATATGTTTTTTTTTTAATCAAAAGGCCACTTGAATACAAATTTACTTATTTTTTATTGATATACTTTTACATTTTATTATCAATGTAAATATGTATTGGTCTATCATTTATCAATGCAAAAATGTAATATTGTCAAACACAAACAAAAGTAAATTAGAATGTAAATTTACCCTGAACTGGGATTTACACTCCATTTGCATCGTTTCCAAATGCAATCTAAAGAGATCAAATTAATTCAGTCAGTCCATTGTAACAGCTGAAGCAGTTTAGCCCAGTCAACGTTCATCTCAGCCCTCTCAAATGGGCAATTAATAAATGGGTTGTCCAGATTACCTTTACATAGATAGATCTGGTAATTGGTTGTAACAAATTGCTATTTAACGGAGTGGGTACTGGGTAGGCAGAGAATTAAGGGAAAGGGGACCATAATTCAGAAACAACTATTGTATGGTGGAATCTTAGTCAATTACCTTTTACCCTATCAGAGTTATATATGTCTAATAGGATTGTTAAAAAGTCTTTTTTGCCCTTTTTAATTCTTCTTGTCATCTTCAAATACAGAACTCTTTAGTCTTTAATCTCTCTCTCTGCCTCAATATACTTAGCCATGAGTCCATGAACAGGTTTACAGTTTTACATAAAAGAGGTCTTGTGTCTTGAAAAAAAGGGGGATCTTGGTATTTAGCATAAGCATCAGTGGAGGTTTAAATCTTTGACTTTTTTTGCCATTTGGAGACTAGACACCAATGGTAGGCATTAGCTAGGGTGGTATTGGGGAATCAAGAATTGACTCATGGATTTCATGTTCTCATTTTGACACATCATTTGATTTTATTCCTTTTACCAAACACTATCTAAAAGTTCCAATTCAATCACTACTCTACATAAACAAGAAACTAAAACAAGACTGTACTCAAATTTTGAGCCCCTATAATTTGCCACCTGCTCCATGTATGAAGAATTGGGATCAACCATTAAAACAATATGCTAATGCCAGAATTGAAATCATCCTTATCGGATAAGTTATTACCATTTGATTTGGGCTTACTCTTGCAAAGTTTTTATTTAACTTGAGAGGAAAATCTTCCACATCATCTAATTATATGCAGTAAAATCAAAGGATTATAGCTCTCTCTCTCTCTTTTCTTTTTACATCCCAATTTTTAGCCAAGCTGATTATCTAGATGCTTATAAAGTCTCTTTATAAATAGTAATTAAAAAGGCAAAAAGCTTGCAGGTCTGAGAAAGCCCTATTAAGTATTACCACGACATTTATGGTCAGTTACTTGGATATCTACTTGTGCAATAAGCCTGCTGCAACCAATGAAAACGAAATCCTAGACACTGGTTCAGTGATGGGAATATTTGGGTTTGTGTTTAGGAAAGTGGAAATACACTTAGGGTCCGTTTGGTTCGTGATCGGAATTAGAATCAGAATTGGAATTGGAATCTTTTGGAATCGGAATTGGAATGGTTTATTCCCCCTACCTGTTTGGTTCAAACAGGAATTTGAATCGGATTCCGATTGATGCTGTTAGGTTTATCAAGAGGCTGAAATCGGAATCAGCCATGATTTTTAATTTTTCCCCTAATAAAAATAAAAAAGCAAAAAATACCAAAAATGCAGAATTTTTGCAGAAAATTGCAAAAATTACAATAATTTTGCAGCAAATTCAGAAAAAAAAAAGCATGAAAATACTCAAAATTCAGAAAAAAAAAAACATCAAATTCAGAAAATTCAGAAAAAAAATCAAAGTAAAACACAGTAAAAGTCGTATTTACCAGAGTTGGGATTTGGCCTGGACTTGATCGATGCAGCAAGGACGAGTTTCAGTTGATTTTTCACCTTAGGCTGTTTGCTGTGAGACACAATGACAATCATGAATGTGGACGGGGGTGATTCACAGGAGAAGACAACCTCACTGGCGTGGACTCTGCTTGAAATCTGGAAGAAAGATGGATTCTCTCGAGCGATTTTTGTTATAGATGGTTTTTCTTAACATGTGACAAAGAACAATAATAGGGGATTGTCATCTTGTCGGGATGACTGGGTTCGCGCCTCTACTGGATTGTCATCTTGTCGGGGAAGACGATGAACAAGTATCCGTAAATGTTGTGCTTTGCTCGTCGAAAGAGTGATAGGAATGATAAAAGAAATCAGGAAAAAATAGGGGAAATGGGAGAATGAGAAAGGAAAATGGGGGAAGAGAGATCAGAAGAGAGGGATTTCGGTCCAATCTGCCGCTACAACGACCATTGCATCGGCAAGGACAGAACAGAGGGAGGGAATGCGAGAAGAAGAAGAAGAAGAAGAGAGGAAAGAGAGAAGAGATTGACCTCCTCACCGGAGATGGGGTTGACGGCAGTAACGGCAACGGCAACAGCATGGGATTCTTCCTTCTCACTGCAACTCAACCGCAGGTTGGATTGGAGGGGTTTTTTGTCCAAAAAAAAATGAAAACTAATAACAGAATGGGAATCACATTCCAGGGGAGGGGATCGGGAATGGTCATTCCCCAATATGGAGGAATGGCATTCTGATTCCTCATTCCCATTCTAGTCGACCAAACATCCAGAATCGAAATGACCCATTCCGATTCCGATTTCAGGGTACAGACCCTTAATTTCATATAATCAGCTCAACATCATAGAGGTAACCAAAAGCTAGCTATAAATTGATTCTGTGGCCAACCAACCAACTAATCAGCTAGCTACGAACCTGGGCACTTGAAAATAAGAAACAGTCTGCAAAAACGACCAAGTTCATCCTCAACTCAAATAAATCAGGGAATAAATAATTAAATATGCTGGGCTTCAACTTGAAGAGATGACGTCCTACACTACACTACACTACACTACTCTGCATTTTGGTTTTTCATGTATATAAACGACCAACACCGAACCTGAACAATTTGAAAGGTAGAGTAGCGTTTGGTGTCACCTAGAGCTAGAGAGTTCCTTCAGCCGCTTCAGTAGTGGACAGTGGTGATCTGTCGATCCATCACTTCCCCCTACGTACTGAAGGGTTTGGAGGAACTCTGGGTGCCTGCAGTCCGCCACTCAAACATTTTCTATGACTATTAAGGGGGTGTTTGTCTGGTTTTGTTTTTGAAACCAGAAACAACTGTTACAGCCCATTCCGATTCCGATTCTGGACCGGACTCTAATATTTATAAAAGCATGGTATTTGCATGGGATGGAGGATACCTGTATTTCCATTTCCCCTGTCCATATCTATAGCTGCATCTGGCATCTTAAGGTTTTTTTTACTAAATTTTGGTTCTGTCAATCAAAGGTCCTGGACTGGGTGGACTGTGATACTTGAAGTAGCTGCTCTTAAATTCAAACCCATGTTTTCATGCTCCCAAGATCCATTGCACTAAGCAATGATCCTCCCATAACTAGCTCCAAGCAGACAGAAAATACAATACTAATGTGGAGTTTATCTACAGAATTTATAGGATATAGAATGGTTGGAAATTCAAGCCTTGTACATGAGACCTTAATAATTTTATTTTCCCTTGTCCTGTTGTCCATGAAGGCTATAAATTTGTGAACAAAATTCACTTTTCATAAGAACGTGTTTTTTGCCTTTTTGGGTTGACTAGGGAGTAGCATATGTCATGACTATTATGGCGCCGTGGAACCACTTTTGTGATGAGGACTGAGGAACTACCATCATGGATCTCTCAAGTTTATTTCTAAAAATATAATTTAGTTTCCGTTTGGATAGGTTTTTCTCTTGAGTTTTGGGCTGTGAAAAAGAAAAACAAAATTGAGCCAAAAAAGTGTTTTTGAGCGTTTGGTAACTTCTCTAAAAAGATTAATCTGAACCCAAAATACTTCCAATATCCAATGCACAAGGCCTGAGGTTGGGACTGCTTTTGAGCCTTGAAAGCACAAATTCTGAAGCTTAACCAAACACAACCTTAATCTCAATGATTCGTCATCTTGTAAAGCATTTGTTGTTTTACATTTTAGATGAATCTCTATGCATCCTTTCCCATTTAGCTTAAGAGTTCTATCTTCTTTCCAAAAAAAAAAAAAAAAAACAGAGACATATCTTGTGTCTGTATTTGATGCAGGGCCAAGAAGTTCCAAGTAGTCTTAGGTGGGCTGCTTCCTGCTTGACGAAACTCTATCTATGAGGTCTACCTCAGTTCTGTACATTTGTTGGTATGCCTCTTTAGTCCAGACTCCAGAATACCCAAATATTAGCTGCTTATAACAAAGAAAAACGAAATTATATCCTCTGTATAAATGAATCTTCAGCTAGTATAGAACATGAAATATGATTAATCCTCACAGTGGAGATGTTTGTCACATGAGAATCAAGTGTCTTAACCTCTTTATCCAGGGAACAACCCCCAGATGTGAGTAGTCCAATTCGCAATTTGCTCTCTGCATAAATTCATTCATGACTGTCTACTTTGTATTCCAACTTGTATTACAAAGAATAAAAAGTAGGGTAATACAAGCATGTCATCAATGTATGTCAATGTCCAATGAATCACTCAATTATTGTCACTGCACACAAAGTTACAAGAAACAAATCATCCCTCAACAGTCAAGACCTTGTTTGTCACAAGTCAACTACTCAGCCAAAAAAAAAAGGAAAAAAAAAATCCATCCAAATTTCCACCATGAGTCAACAGACTGTCATGATGAGAAATGGCAAGAATCAAAGTTTCTGACTTCTGTTTCTCTGTTTTTTTACCCTTCTGGTGGGGTTTGATGCCCCACCCCTGGTGCAGGGGGTGCAGGGGATGCAGGGGATGCAGGGGACAGGAGATGCTTACATTAAAAAAAAAAAAGAGTTATTTGCATTACTGAACCAAAGACTATATTATAGTAAAACTAAAACTTAATCGTGGCATCAACCATGACTGTTGCTTTCTATCACTTTGGGTCTGCAAATCATCGGATATGTGGTAGCAAGAAGATGAATGGTGAGGGAAGATTCTGTCTCTGAGAGGCTCACAGGTATCTGGAGAAACCGAGTCAGAATAGCCTCGAATGAATGAACAGTTCCACGGGGAAGATGAGGTTACATTGAGGGTGATGTTGGACAGGCAAATGTCGACGAAATTATCTCCTTCAATACCCTCCAGAAGGCCTGCAACACTGATATTATCTCCTCTGATATCTTTGAAAGTAATCTTGTTTATGTCGGGGAGGGCTTTTGGATCATAAGATGCATCTGGGTGCTCACCATAATTACCTGTCAACCTAATAGCCATCTTTACATCTGTCAAATCTACGTCTGAGACATAGACATTTCTTACATACCCACCCCGTCCAGGAGATGTCTTTATTCTGATGCCAGTTTTTGAATTGAAGAACTGAAGGCTTTCTGCGTGCACTTCTGATACACCACCTGACATTTCACTCCCAATTGCAATTCCAGAACTTGATGATGTCTGTCCAGCAATGCGTCGGATTATAATGTTGGAACTGGGTCGAGCATAAGAAATGCCATATTCATCCCAACCACTTTTGATGGAGATCAGATCATCACCCGTGCTAATATAACAATCCTCAATACAGACGTCATCTGATGAATCTGTATACATTTAAACAAAGTTAATCAGGATGCAATTTATTCAAACAAACAGTTTCTTGATATACATTTTTAATTTTTTAGCAAGTATGAAAGAAGAAAATATTTATGTAAAATTTTTCAAATCTAATAAATATGCATCATAATATACTTTTGTTTCTATACAAATATGTTTTTGCTGATTGAAAACATCCATGCATGTTTCTATTCTACAAATATGACCATTGAGACCAATAAGAGAACAAATAAGCTAGTACTGGTTAAGCAATGTGTTTTTACCTAAATTCATTTCCACATTCACCTAGCTATAATTGACTGAAAAACATTAACTGCTAAGAAGCTCAATCCTCTCCATCCTGTAACTGTCATTCTTTCTCGAAACTCTAATTAAAGATTTAGAGGAATTGGGAGTCTGAGGCCACATTCTAGATTTGTCTTCCAATGTAATTGCCATTGAATCATCTGTTATGGAAGCAAGTTGAATAAGAACCTGAAGCTGTCTTCTTAGGTTTCTTTGATTAGGAATCTTTATAGAGGTGAGATTGAAACCAATGTGCCCTTGAAAGTTTCAGTACAAGGATTTAAAAGAGTACAGGGAAAGCCAAAGAAGACAAGGACTGAAGTAATAAGAAATGGTCTGAGAACTTATTATCTGATTGAAGAATTGACTCTTGATAAAGCATAATGGTAAGACAGGATTATGTAGATGACCCTAAATAGTTGGGATTAAGGTCTACTGTTGAGTTGAATAAAAGGATTAAGTTCAACTACTCATTGGCTGCAACCTAAATCAATAGAAATGTTAATTTCCCAGTCACCAAAAAAAATTACAGAACTATTGAGTAATCACCTGGATTGATCCCATCTGTATTTGGCGAATCAAGAGGGGCAAGGATTGTCACATCCTGGACAACAACTTCACTGTTCATTCAGCAAAAACAGTCTCAACTCTCCCACTAATACATAAAAATCTCCACTTTTCAATGTTTTTACAGAGGTAAGCAAACAGAGAGGCAGTTAAATCCTTTCAGAGGGGACAAACCTGCAATATACAGGGTGGATGGTCCAAAATGGAGAGTTTAAGAATGTCAAGTTTGAGACGATCACACCAGTTGAATTCATCAACTCAACCAGATGGGGCCGAGTATAGTTCAAAGTTCCATTTCTGAACCAGTTCCACCAGACATTGCCTTGACCATCAATTGTTCCATTGTCACCTGTACCATGAGTTATTCAAAATCACAAAAAATGGTGAAATATAGATTGAGTTCAGTTCTGCATCTTTATCACTAACCCGTTATAATGACATCTGTCAGATTGCGTCCATAGATTAGGCTTCTATGCCTTCCACCAGGCAATTCCCTACCTCGTCCATAAGAGGGTAAAGGATCAATAACAGGCCAGTCATCAGAGTGCTGAAACAAACCAGAGATTAGCTGATTTAAATAATGAGCTGTGGATAGACCATTGCAACAGAGATGTCTAAATGAGATACACTACAGGCTCAGCTGATTGAAGACAACCCATTTCACTCAAATGCAGGTTTTTGATGCCCAAAGAGGGTATAGGCGGTCTTTCTTCTGTTTACTACAAACTTTATTACTGATTATAAACTGCCTTGACATAAACATAAACTCAAGTTCTTAGGAAAATTCCTTGGCAGCAATCACTCAGAACCTCACCTCCTCCAATCCTAATTTTCTGACTGTTAGACCATTCATCTATTGAAGTTTCTCTGCAGTGTGCCAGACTATGGGCATGCAAATAAACAGAGCACATCAGAAAGATTCTGATGCTCCATTTATGTAATTTGAAGTGAAACATCTTAGAACAAGGAGTAATGGGCTTACTGTTGATCCAAGGATTACTGCATCCTTGTCTAACAACAAAGTAAGATGACTGATGAGTTCGAAACTTCCTGTCAACCATCGACCAGCAGGTACAAAAAGCTGGGCCCCTCCCTTGTCAGTGAATGAGTTGAGATAGAAAATGGCATTCTGAAATGCTTTGGTGTTGAGAGTTACGCCGTCTCCAACAGCACCAAATTCAGTTATGGTGACACTGTGTGGTCGAACTTCCCTCGGGCTTGTTTGTGTGCAATGCGAGCTGCTACCTATAGCCCATTGAGCTTCACACATTGATGCAAGTACCAGAATCACCTCCAGCAGCTGAAAGGGGATCTGAATTCAAGTTAATACCAAAATCCAACAGCAAAAATAGATTTCTTCAGATGCAATTTCCATTATACAAGTTTAGTCTCAACAGTGCTTATCTTGAGAACTCCAGACTATCTGATAAACCAAGGATGTAGAAATGAAAAAAGGGTAAGGAAAAAAAAAAAAAAAAAAAAAAAAAAAAAAAAACAGAAAGAAAAGAATGTGGGTAAAATGAAGTACATTCTGAAATAGAAATACAACAGCACAAATATTTAGCAGTGGATCTGAACCCAATAAAGTAACACAAAGTGGTGCTCGACATTTCTAATCCAAAGTACCATTAGATCGAGAGAACAGCTCTGTTCAATTGAAGGACATTTTGTTAAAAAAGAAAAAAAAACAGAGCACCCACTAGAACCCATAATAGAAATGTGAAACGAAACAAGAATCGTTTTCTTCTTCTTGGCTGAGCGTGGATGGTTCAGGTACTATATCTTTATAAGCACAGTAATTCCAAACATGAAGAAAAACAACTAATAAAGAAATAGAGAAAGGAAAAGAAAGCATTTTCCCCTCAGATCCCATTCTGCTCTCAGCAGGAGATTTTTATTTTTTATAGATAGAGAACAAGAATTCAGACCATTCTCAACATAGAATAGAAGAAAAGAGGAATAACAAAACAGAACATGAGAGGAGTAAAATTACTTACAGTTACAGATCTCCTCATATGATTGAGATCTGTTCTTCCCTTTCAGCCCAATACCCAAGCTTCCACTTTTTACAGCTACCGGACCACCCACTCTTGTCTGATCAAACAATAGAAGCCCAAGCACACAAGGCCTTTGGGAGAAGAAGCCTCGAGGACGTTTCGATGGAAATGACAAGCAATATACAAGCTTTGGTTAGATGGAACTTGGAGAGTCACAGGCCAAAGAAAATCATTGAAAGTGACCGTTGCTGCCCGCCAAAAAACAAACAACTATGGCCCCATAGAGGACCCCTGTGTCCACCTTCTCTAGGACCTGTCTCTCCTTCTCTCTTACTGTGTCTGTGATCAAAATGAAGGATACTTGGATGGTGTCTGGTGCACGGAACAGAAGATTTCGATGAAACCGAAGTAGTAGTATGACACCGTTTGCACTTTGCAGAGAAGTAGAGTGTTGGATTATATTTTTGGAACTTTGATTGACGGCACTTGGAAGAATTTGAGGACAGTGGTGTCATAGACTTCCTTGCTAAACAGAGATTAAGTTGCATGACGTTTTAAGTGACAATTATATGATTCAGTTGGAATATCTATCAAAACTATAGCTTTGATTTCTCTATTTGGAGTTTTGACTTGTCTCTCCATTTTGTAAGCTTGTTCCGATCACAGGTGAAAAAAAAAAATGAATAAGTAAAGCTCGTTTCCTTTATTAAAAATCCCTGAATTTGAAAGTAGTCAATTTGTATGTTACAGAATGCCCTAAGATCTAAGCTAACCAATATACCCTGAAGAATTACTGTAAATGTAATTACACGGTATTCCTTGTAGTTGTACAACATGAAAGTTTTTGTTGTTTCTAATTCTGTTGTTTTAAAAAGAGAAAAAAAAAAAAAAAACAAGTTGGTTTTGTTTCAAAAAACCAACCATCAAAATAATGATTTTTAAAATAAAAGCAAATTTTATAGTATAAAAATTATATGATTTATGAAACGTGATATACAGAAGACATGATTTTTAAACAAAAAATTGAAGAACGTGTTTTTTTACTTCAGAATATGTTTTCTTTGTTTTTGTTTTGAAAACCAACTTATTTTCAAACCAGCTAATACTGTTTTGTTTATGAAATTTACAAAAGGAAAAAGAAAAGCAGTTTGCATTGAACAAAAAAAACCCTTAGATGGTCCCTCTAAACGAGGTTATTTGACCACCAAAATATTCCCTATTGTGACTGGGCAAACCCTTCATTACCCTAATTAGTTTTATGATAAATCTTTATTACCCAAATTAATAATGCGGGAACTTCCCTTGGCTTCACGTCCAGACTGTACCTGACGCCCTCCCCGGTGGCGGTCTCCACGTGTTAACTGTGAGTCTGTAACAGTGACACTGTCTCTTTCTCTTTCCCCTCACGTGAATCTGCACGTGACACTCTAGACCACGCTAGGGGTGAACTGAACTATAAAAACCCCTTCTGTATTATGCTTATTATTGTCATTGTGTTTAGGAAGAGGGGAATGTTAAATGTAGAGAGAGAGAAGTGTTGAAAGAATCTGGATCTGCAGATCATCATACATTGCTGGTCACGCTCATCCAGCCTTACTTCGAGAATATCAGTGAATGCGGCTGGATGAACTCATGAACGTCGGGTTTAAAGTTTAAACAGGGAGGGATAGTTTAGTAATTTAAAAATTGAAAGAAAGAAAAATAGAAAAAAAAATATTGAAAAGAAGGGACAAGAAGGACACAAGGTGGGGAGTAAGGTCGTTGTCGTGCGTGGCATGAGAAAAAAAGTTTGACAGATGGCAGATGGCAGAAGGGTTTTTTCTTTCTGAGTCAATTAGGGAGGGAGGAGCCGAAGACGGATCCAATGCTGATTGCTGAATGCTTCCACCACACTCAGTGATGATGATTAGTCGGAGCCGGAGTCGGAGTCGGAGTCGGAGTGTTTTACTTGCACTTACCACAACCCTAGCTAGTCCTAGTTGTGAGTTGTCTATCTACCTACCATACAACATACTTTATTATTTAACAACAGGCACACTCGACAGGGATATTAGACGGTCGAGATCAACAAGTTATTTGATGATATTGATAGACCTCTCCAACTCCAGTCCATGGGCCCTCAGGCATTTTTACATTATTAATTAGTTCAATTAAGATTAAGGGGCTGTTTGGGCTCGCGCACACAACCACACACACAGCTCAAAACTAATATTTTGTTTATTTTTTTGTGAATCAAGAAATACTAATAATTAATTTAAAAGACAAAAGCATCATCAAGTATATTAGTTTCAATGATTTATTTATAAATAAGGGTACGTTTTGTCTTTCCATATTATTAAGATAAAAATAAAAATAAAAACAAAGAGAGGTACATGTACCCCATTGAAATTGATATTATTATGGCAAAATAAACATCTATACTATTTTAAAAAGCATGAATGGCCTTAAGAATATTTATGTATTTTTTTATGATAAAATTTACCCATCTATGTTTAAATTTATTGATAAAAAATGAGGGCAAATAGGGTAATTGGTTATTGATATTAAATTAATTGAAAAGAGGTAATTTTAAGATATTCAATACATTCAATCCACTCTCATTAAATCTAACATTTATGTTATTAACTTGCATTCATGTTCATTGAATCATATATTTAAGTCATATTTGCTTCTTCTCATCATCAAGTTTTATTAATTAAATCCATACTTAATAAGTTGATAATTCCAATAACATAAAAGTTTATACTTTTAAAATCTACCTAGAAAAAATAATGTTTTCATCTAGGTGGTGGTAATAAATTAAACCATTTTGGGGCAAATGGGTCAATCCATGTTGCCACGATTAAATAATAAAATAAAAAAATAGATATTAAGAAAATTGGAAACATTTTTAACATACATATTAAACAATAATAAGTATGATAAATAAGAAATGTTTTTATTAATGATAGAAATGGAATGTAAATTTTAAAACCAATTGGAAATACAAATATTTTCCTATTCTCTCTCATTAAATCCTATATTTAAGATATATTTTTCTCATCATTAAATTCTTGTAATTAAATCCATAATATTACTTTTTAAAGTATAAAAATAAATATTTTGAAAAGTAATTTGAAAAAAAAAACTATTTTCTTACCTACTGGTGGTGGGCAAGCAATTCGACCATTTAGGGTCAAATGGATTAATGAATAATGTCATAATTAAATAATAAAAAATTAAAGTAAATAAGTATGAAATGTAAGAGGTATTTTTATTAATGATGATAATAGAATGCCAAATTTAAAATCTACCTAGAAATGAAATGAAGACATAGTCAAATAATAAAATTTTTAAAAATTGAAAATACAATGAAAAAGAGGTCATTTTAAAGCATTCAATTCATTCTCATTAAATCCAACACTCAAGGTATTAACTTGCATTCACCTTCATTGAATCATATATTTAAGGCATTTTATTCCTTCATATTATTAAATTTTATTAATTGAATCCAACATAATAAATTAATAATTCCAATAACATAAAAACTTATACTTTTAAAATCTACTGGAAAAAATAGTGCTTTCATCTAGGTGGTGGTAAAAATTAAACCATTTGGGGTCAAATGAGCTAATCCATATTGCCACAATTAAATAATAAAATTCAAAAATAAATAAAATACAAAAATATATAAATAAAAAAATGAGAACATTTTTAACATCATATATTTTACATATTAAACAATAATAAGTATGATAAATAATAAATGTTTTTATTAATGATGTAAATGGAATGTAAAATTTAAAATCAATTGGAAATAAAACTATTTTCATATTCTCTTTCATTAAATCCTCTATTTAAAATATATTTTTCTCATCATTAAATTCTACTAATTAAATCTACATTATTAATTTTTCATATTATAAAAATAAACATTTTGAAAAGTAAGTTGAAAACAAAACCATTTTCTTCCCTCCTGGTGGTGGGTAAGCAATTCAACCATTTGGGGTGGATGGGGCTAATAAATAATGTCATAATTAATTAATAATAATTAAAATAAATGAAATATATAATATAAAAAAGTAAAAAAAAGAGTTGAGAATATCTCTAATATTGTATATTTATTATACTAAACATAAATAAGTATGAAATTTAATAAGTATTTTTATTAATGATAAAAATTGAATGTCAAAATTAAAATCAACCTAGAAATGAAATGAAGTCATAGTCAAATAATAAAATTTTAAAAATAGAAAATACAAAAAATCACAAAAATAAAAAAGATAGAGAAAATTTTGGGCACCCATCTAATGTTATATATTTATAAAAAAAAAAATTGGATACATCTCTAATATTATACATTCATTATATTGAATAAAAATAAGTATTATACATAAGAAATAATTTTATCAATGAAGGAAATGTAATACAAAATTTAATGTCAACCTATAAATCAAACTATTTTTCTTTTTTGGTGGTGGGTAGGGTCAAATGATATCATAGACAAACAAAAAATTAAGTGTGATAAGTAAAAATTATTTATATAATGAATATATAAATGAAATATGTAATTAAAGGGGAAAATTATAGTCAAAACCGATTGTACATTTAAAATTATGTTGCAGTTTGGTCCATAAACCAACAATACTCTAACAATTGGCTCTATATTTCCAATTATAAAAGCCCCCACCATGTCATCAAAGGCTTATGTGACTCTTAATCCATATTGGATACAACAAAAAGCCTATACTAAAAATAGGTTTCCAGTTACTCTCCCGCTCCCTCTGTCTCTCAATCTCCCTCCTTTCTCTCTCACTTTTACAATCATCTCTCGATCTCCCACTCTCTCAGCTTCGATCTATAGCCAAATCAAAATCTCTCTCTCTCTCTCGGTCAATATCTCCTTCTCCTTCAATCTCTATCATTCTCCCTCAGTCTTTCTCCCACTCCCTCTCTTGTTCAATTTTCTTTATTTTTCTTGAAAACTTATACAATATTAATCAGACCTAAATGGACCAAACACTTGTAAAATTAAGTTATAAATTTCTATCAAGTTGGTGTAAATTTTATAGACAAGAGTTTCTTGTGAATTTTTATCAAATTGGTGTAATGATTTTTGAACCATACTAAGTTGGTCTTGTGTTCTTTTATACGATTTGATTAATACCATACAAGTGTGTAAGAAAATAAAAAAGAACAAGAGAGGGAGTGGGAGAGAAATTGAGGGAGAACGATAGAAATTAAGGGAGCTCTCCAATCGAGAAAGAGAATGAGAGAGATTGAGGGAGAATGGTAGAAATTAAGGGAGCTCTCCAATCGAGAAAGAGAATGAGAGAGATTGAGGGAGAACGAAGAGCTGGTTGTCAAAGTTATTTTCTTATCTAAATGGTGGGTCAATGATCCAACTTTTCAAAAAAAAAAACTCATGATGTCATAATTGAATAATAAATATTTAAAAAAAATAGAACACCAAAAATAAAAGTGTACAGAATTTTGTCGAAAACATTTGAGAATATTTGTAATGTTATATATTCATCATATTAAATAAAAATAATTGTTAAAATAAAAGTTATTTTTATTTATGATAGAAATGAAATATAAAATTTAATAATAATAAT